GTTTTACAAAATCAAGAGAATGCAATACGACAACCGAGGAACAAGTTTTCGATGACAGGCAATAGGCGTGTGTGGGTCTCGAGTAAACCCACAAGTCTGGTTTGTGCCGTCTCAAGATGAGCGGATGCAACCCGTCTAAGATTAGCTGCAGAGGGCCTCAATTTGTTTCTACGTAAAATCTTCACAATCGATCGAGAATAACGACGCTGGCGGATACATTCGGAGAGGAAGGATATTACCACACGCTTGCAAGGAATCTTACATCGCAGATTGACAATGCGGCGAAGTAGCTTGACTGTTTCAGCGGGAATTCGTCTTTTTAGAAATTTGAAACAGTTAGTTTCCTATAGTGATTTGAAAAGCGCAGTAAGAAGACGAAGACTGGTAAATGTACGCTTTCGTATTGTCTCATCAGTGCCTTTAACATGAACAATTATCAGTTTTTGGCAATCTTTGTCTGCGTAGGATTGCAAACGTGTGATGGAAACATCACTTAAGCAACACAGAAACCCCAGACTAAGTGCTTGCAGCCAATAGCCCATACCTCTAAAACGTTTTTCGATAGCGCATGCGTTGCTTCGGACACGTATTGCGCATGCCAGCCTATCGCCTTTCCCATCGAGCTTCATTTGCGCTCCCCTGAAACGATTAGAAAATGTACCGCAGTGGACACCCTATGATCTGAAGAAGGAGCATGTAGAAGAAAACCTCAAGCCTAGCATCCGTTGGACCGGTCCACCTTCTAAGATGGGGACCACGCGACTCGCACTACCAGTGGTTGGAAGCGCTGAAGGTTATGGCGCGCAACAGACATCAGTAGCGACAGCGTTGTTCAACCGCATCATTTGTTAATGTCTAATAAAACATATACACAAAAATCGAAACCAAAAGCTAAAAATGGCGGGTGTGAAATCAAAAGATCATTTTCTTCTGATATTGTGTTTCGTTTCCCCCCCCCTTTTGCTTCGATCTCCGGTGCCATATTGTTTGTTACCAGATTGTTAGCGAAACGACGAACGAGAATCGAGGCCAGTAATTTTGTCACAACTGGCCTTAAGTTAATACCCCTGTGGTTAGAGCAGTCTGTGCGACTGCCCTTCTTGTATATTGCCACTCTAATCGATTCTTTCCAATTAGCCGGGACACTCTTCCTTCCAGATACATTCGAATAGAGAGGTCAGTGCTTTTCGGAGTCCCTCATCTCCATCCTTAAAGAGTGCAGGTGGGAGGGAATCCGGGCCAACGGCACGAAAATGGTTGAGGGCTGTGATCGCGTTTCGGACCTCGGCCTCTGACGGAGGCTCTAAACTAACCGTCTATGGCTCGTCCTGCATCACCTGAGTAGGATGTGGTCCGGGAGCAGGGGGCCAGCTGAACTGGTCTTGAAAGCGTTCCGCTCGACGAGCGATACGGCGCTCCTTATTGTGTATCAGTGCACCCGCGAGGTTTCCGATTGTCTCACTGACGCCTGGTTTCCTGGGACCGGTGATGCGGATTAGCTGGAAGAGCTTGCGGTAATTGCCTACTGCTCCTGTCTCCTCCATTTCTTGGGCCCGACTGATCCACCAGGCTTCCTTATCAGCACGTAGGCTCCGCTTTAGTTCGCGCCTAATAGCCCGTCTGGTCACATTGTGCTTAAAGCCAGCCGGGAGGTTTCTTCTAGATTCCAACAGGTTCACCGACCTCTCAGTTACCCAGTGACTGGTGCGGTGACCATTGATAGTGCCACATGCAGATGCTCGTGCGTTGTGCATGGCGACCGAGATTCTATCCCACTGAAGCTCAGTGTCATTAGAATAAGACAGCGAAAGTTCGGTACGCAGGGCGTCTTGATAGGCTTGACTGACCGAGGGCTGATACCATCTCTCGGTTGCCAATCGGAGGAGACACTTGGTGCACTTCTAGACAAAGTTCACGGAGAAACGACGGCGTACTAAGGCATGATCAGAGTCGACACAGGTACTCCAGTACGAGCGGCAATCTAGGATGGAACCACGCCACCTGTAACTTATGGCTATGTGGTCAATTTGGGTCCATCGCTGGCCAGCTACAGGAGGACGCCAAATGGCACTTCGGCACCCACTGTGTCTAAAAGCGGTGCTACTAAGAAACAACTGGTGCTCCGCACACATTTGCAGCAGACGCTCGCCGTTATCAGTCAGTTCGGAGTTAAATCCATAATTACCACTCAGCTGAGTTTTTGAAAAGCTCAGACCTCCTACTTGTGCGTTCATATCCCCTGCAAGTACTATGATATCTCATTAGACCAATCCTTGAATACAGTGCCCCGGCATACCATCCGATAACCCAGTGGGAAACTGAAAAGCTGGAGAAAATACAGCATATCGCAACTAGAATTATACCGAGTCTACGAAAGCTTCCGTATGAAAAACGTTGTGAAAGCTTTGGACTCTACACACTATCCTACCGCCGAGTAAGAATTGACCTTATTATGACCCATCGAGTACAAAACTTGAACCACTTCCCCATACTGCGGGCAATATTTTACCTGCGGGTACCCTGTAACACCCGAGGACATCGTTACAAACTCAGGGTCCCCTGCATGAACAAAGTATCACATCAGCTTTGTATCTCAGAAAGAATCGTAAACTTATGGAATACAATACCAGAAGGATGAATAAAGGCCGATTCTGTGAAGTATTTTAAAACCCGTATCGACGATTATTGCGGTAACCTGTGCTTTTGTGAAACGATGCACATACAATGCCAAAGAAAACATCGTATGCCCGGAAATAATGACACCACTACAAATTCCTAACCGAACAAGGATAAACGATTAAGGGACCAGACAACCGCTGATGATTCACAACTAAATGTTTTCGATTTTTCGTAATTCAATAGCGCTGTACAGAAATCTTTCTACTTGCTCTTAAATACAGTCTCAGTAGCACTGCGTAGTAGCGCGTTCAGTTCGTGATAGAATGTACCATTGACAGCATTAGAACTGCAGTCGGTGGGAGCATAAACGGAAATCACAAACAAACAGCGTGTTGTACTACTTCGTGGATCGACCTTAGCTGATGTCGTCTAACGGCCTGCACATAAACGGCTGTTCACCGGAATCCAAACAACCAACGATGGCTCAGCCTTGGAGGTTAGAATGATACCTACATCAGCTTGACCCGTGAGTGCTGCATCGGCGTCTCCGGATGCGTGCAACCAACAACGAGAGGATAAGCCGGGTGCAGTTAATTCAACAACCCCATTAGGGTCATTTGTCCTAGTTTCGGACACAACGCAGATATATATATATATATATATATATATATATATATATATATATATCAACTGGCCACGTTGCTTACGCTAATTGTGCTTATCTTCGGTAACTGTTAAGTTTGTAGCACTTTTAATTAACTTGTGGACATTTTTTCCTTATCGCGGATTCGTTTCTAACTAACTTACTTCATATGCTTATTTAGCGAAGAGCTATGCCACTATATCTGTATGTATTATTGGATTTATTTTGTTTCATCTTGTCGTTTCAAGTGATTGGCTGTTGCTTGATATCCCCGGTGTGGCTGCGCTTGATGTGCATGTTGACAAGGTGCCTAACTGTCTATTACACACTACCTCATTCATACTGGTTCCAGGAGACAGTTGGTCGTTGCTGGAGGGGACGGGGTGCACGGTCCTTGTGGCCGTGCTAGGCTCGAAGAGTGGTCCCATGCACTCAGTGTGGAGCGGACTACGGCCCAGCCACCGCCTTGTGTGCGATTGATTCCCCAAATACAGCGTGCTTGTGTTTGCCTGTGAAGGAGTGTGGGCCGGCTCCGTTGATGAAACGTGGCTCCCATCCACATACCTCCCGGTCTTATTCCTTCGGGTTTACACTGGATATGGGGTGTGTGGATGGGGCTGTGGGTGGTGCAGCGCAAGCCATCCATGGTCCCTCTGTAGGCGCAGGCGTCCTGCGGCTGGCCACAGTGGCAGGCAAATCCGAAACCGGATGCCGCCAACGATATATATATATATATATATATATATATATATATATATATATATATATATATATATATATGAGCGAGATGAGATCGCCATAAACGGCTCGATGGATAGGTTAATTTCGTGGCTTGGTACTGTCGAGAACGAGCGCTTGTGAATTGATACGAACACGAGCAGCGCCCTGTTAGCCAGTCGTCGAGCAGAAAATAAGTGGACATCTAGGAATAGTCTACTGGTGTTTAGTCTATAAATGTCGACTTTTATCAGCGAACAGAAAAACTTTGTCCGTCCGCTCTCGCGTCTTCCTGGGAGCCGATTTGGTTGTTTAGTAACTTACTCTGACGTGACGCGCTTCGCAACCGTTCGAACTGGGAAAGGCTAAGTTTGCCATTGCATCCTTGTTGACTGCATCTACACAGTGTTTCGCTTGGCGACACTAATTGGGTAAACTGGCGTGAAAAAACCAACTGTAGTATCGGACAGTACACGCCGTCTCCCTTGATGTAAGCTTAGTAATCAGGCACTTGTATGAACGCCTTCACCCGACGTAGGAAAAAAGAATTCAGTAGTACTGTTGCATTCTTGGATATCCCGGTTGCTAGACTTGGCGTTTATGGTTTTCTTTTCTTTCGACTGTTTCTGTTCACTATCATCGCTGCGACCTGGGTTAGGAAAAATTGGTCCGCTTCATTTTTGTTGATTACATGAGCACGAATAAGCAGACACTTTCATTTTGCGTTCGACAAGTGCACTTTACCGAGAAATCCGGTTTGTGACTTAACAAACATATCAATTAGGTGGTTGTCAACCGCCATTATGTACACACGTTTCATGTGAGTATCGGCGTCCGACGACTACCCGTGAGAAATTCTCTACTGCCGCGAGCACCGATTATCGTTTTGCTGTTTGTCAAGATACGATATGTCATGTAGTACCTCTATCAGACGAGCAGCCGGCGGAGTGCTCAGTTGAATAACGACGTCCGCCGTTGTTGGTTCCCGTTTTAAAGCTAGTTTTTGTTTCTCACACTTTTAGGCCTCTTCGCTGCAATGGAACGTAAGCATTTGCTTCTTGGAGTCACGGGCAGCGTTGCAGCTATCAAGACACCGGAACTGGTGCATCAGCTGACGCAGTTGGGGTTTGATGTGCGTTTAGTTTTGACAGAGAATGCCGCACGATTCATTGACCTGACTCAGCTATCGGTGCCAGTATATCGAGATGCCGATGAATGGTCGTGGTCCAACCGTGGTGATCCTGTTCTGCATATCGAAGTAATTCGGTCAAATTCTAATTGTTACTTCAGTTGCGCAACTGGGCAGATGTTCTGGTACTTGCCCCTCTGAGTGCAAACACTCTAGCCAAATTGGCGAACGGCTTAGCAGACAACTTGCTATCAACAGTCGCCCGCTCTTGGTACTTTCCGGAGTCCACTCAGAGAAAACATGTCTTGTTCGCCCCGGCTATGAACCACCTAATGTGGCAACATCCCATTACCATGGAACATATAAATCGATTAACTCTGACATTTGGATGGATTCTTATCCCTCCGATACCCAAAGTACTTATCTGCGGGGAACAAGGCATTGGAGCTATGGCAGAAATCGCGGATATTTGTTCTACAGTAACCACACAGCTGCATGAGTCACAGTAATTTCAGTTATCTATTGTTATGACCATACGGATCTTTTGTAACCCCAATCAGAATTGAATGATTGTCTATTTTATTACAGTTGGTGGATCTCCTTCAGATGAAGCCATCGAGAGTTCATGAATGCCAATCATAGCGCAACGAATGTAAGTGAACGCTAAGTGCAAAATGCCTGCTGTAGAATCACCTGGCATGGCTATCAGTTTCTGTCGCTTTTGTTGGAAACGATGTTCTCGTTCTTACATCATTGCACTAAACACGTTATGCACAACAAACATGGTTGAAAAAGTGAACTTGATGAGGATCACTCATAAAGGATAAAAATGTGAAGCAACTGTTAGTGTCGAAATTCTTCGCGGTACGTATTCCAGCCTCCACACTTGCTTTCGTCGCGGTATTCTGAATGCGATCTAAATCAACGACCTGGCGACTGCAATGTGGATTATCATGGAAGCGACATGAGATCCGTTGTAGACAGTGTGAGTGGATCACGATATAGTTGTATTGGAGTCTGATTCGCCACAACACAAATATGGCTCATTGTTCGCCTGCATGTTGTCTGTTTAAATATGGGGACAATTGGCATCAGCTCACTCATGCTCCTAATCCCACGGGGTTTATAACAACACCACCATGGTTATCGGTGGGAACGCCTACTCCAATTAATAAACCTTGTGATGCGAGGTTCTGTGATGGTTAAGGTCACCGATTTCTGTTTTAAGTTGAATTCTGTGACCTTATGCTGTATTCAACACGGTGGCGTTCAGATCTGGAATAAAGAATACAACCGCTGTCGACCTGTGGTTGTTCTACCCTTCGGATGTGCCAAAGACCCACGTTGTACATCACCTCGAACTGTTGGTCTCTGTAAACGAGGTTCTCTCTACACTATATATATATATATATATATATATATATATATATATATATATATATATATATATATAATGGCATCCGGTTCCAGAGTTGCCTGTAACTGTGGCCTCCATGGAGACAGCCACAGGACACCTGCGTGTGCAGAGGGACCATAAGCGGCTCACACTGCACCACTCACAGCTCTATCCACACACCCCAAATCCAGTGCAAGCCCGACGGAATAAGACCGGGAGGCATGTGGACAGGAGCCACGTTTGATAGACTGAACCGACCCACCCTCCCTCAACATGCACAGCAGCAGGTTTCCTGTCTCACGATCAGTTACCGCTGTAGATGCTGTTTACAAGACTCGCTCGATTTGGAGCAGGAACGTGGCCCCTGCCCACGCGCTCGTTTGTGCCGATCTTACAGTTCGTTTCGGTGAGCGTATGGGGCGACGCTGTATGCGCGCAACACTTGCCAGCTGGCAAAGCCAGATATTCTGATTGCGTAACGAAGTACGCTCGCACCCGACCTGAGTAAGCGCTCTTTGAACACAATAGAGGGCCATTGGCGGCATATTCACCAGACGATATTGGCAACAGACATGCCTTCATGTGACAAATCATACTGTCAACCTGGACATTAGGTTTCTATACAGTCTGTGGAATTTTTGGATGCTCGCCGACACATTCCGGCTGAGAGCGAGCACAATGAAGCTTACAGAGATGTCAGGGCAGGGCTCCGTGCTAGGCTGAATAGAGACCGCGAATCATGGTGGTCGCATCGTGCATCGGAAACGGAAGTGGCCGCTTCCCTTGGTAACTATCGGAAGTTACTCCGTTTGAAGTGCGAAACGGGCGGAAGGAGTCATGGTGTTAACGAGACCATATGTGACGGGGGTGGACGGCCAGTCCACAATTTCAGGTCGAGTCAATATAGGCTTTATGTACCCAAGTGGATGCATTTTCAGTATTTTACAATAACTACCGCCAATAGATTAAAATAGCGACGTTACAAATACAAATTGTATAGACGAAAAAAGGGCATGGTTTGAAAAGGTGTCACCAGAATACGGTCCCATATCTGGAGATAATAATTTCTGTTAAAATGAATCATTGGTATTTGCTTTCTGTTAAAGGTTCAGTGTCGTAGCCCACTTTGTCAGTCGGGGCGATTATTCTTCAAGTAATCAAAACGATTTTAGATAACGCGTGCTATTTCAAGTTCTTTTTCAAAATATCAACACAGTACAGCGCTAGCGACCTTGAAATAGTGTAACCGAAGAAAATGTCAATATTATGTGGTAAAAACTGTTGAATCTGCGTCAGACAAGGTAAAAACGATGTTCCGATGAAAAGGTAACGACTGATTTGAAGGCGTCGCTTGCAGCGTTAATCCAAGCACTTTGGTAACCAGCTTAGTCAATCAGTTACAAGATTCTCCATCGGGCCGTCTCCATGGACCCGCCTTCACGCGCAGATGTCGAACGTCAGGTTAGACTTTTGAGCTTGAATCCCTCCAGCTCTCCTCACGGGTTTCCAACCAGCGGTGTTATTCATTCTTAGATCCTTGATGCGCAAGACGTACAGGAACACCAACCAGTACGTTGTCGTTTCGTCGACAGATGGAAGTTTGACCGCTACGCGATTTTTTCCAGTGCGACCCTGCGCAAGCAAATATAACGAGCTGTGGTAATCGCTCGCACAGCATGCGTAGGACGTGACCCAGCCGTCTCAGTTGGCACAGCGGTACTAACCTGTCGAGAGATGAGCCCGTGTTACCTAAGATGCGATGACTAGTATTGTGGTTGAAAATGGGTTGTTCCCACCACACTGGAGTTATCCTCCACAGACGACCGTTGTCAAAGGTCGAAATGTGACGCATGTCATTTAAACGGATCGGCTAAGACCCACTTTCGTACAACAGCACTACACTCTGCGACGCTACAAGTGATTCAGACTAGCGAAAGCTGATCGAGCTTCGGCTACACACATGGTGCCATCGGCGGGGACGCAGCCCCGCAAGTAGACGAAGCTGCCCACTTGTTCAACCTGCATGTCTTCAAGAGTCAGCACTGGGGCAAATGGATGCTAATCCTGGAGTAGGACTGCCTTTCCTGGGAGCAAAGTTAGCTTCAATCTCTAAATGGTTTCGACTGGTCTGCGTACTCTAGGAGTCATCACAGAGTAAGGCACTATCATCAGCATAGTCTAAGTCAGACACCTGGTTGTCTGAAAGAAGCTCTACACCAGAAACCTGGAGACTTTCCGGAGTGCCTAATAGGACATCCTCAATCGCAAAATTGAAAACAAACGGGGATATGGGACATTCCTGGCGTATACCGCTAGTGATGGTGAAAGTTGAAGAGAACCCTCACTGTATAATGTTCGAAGGATGGCGGTCTACTTTTTGGTAACCCCATTCTTTTGCAGTTAACAACATAGAGCGGATCGCCCGAGTTGAACGCGGCACGGATGTCTAGGAAAGCGATAATCGTAGGCTAGCGGTAAAGGTAATGTTGCTCGAGAATTTGGCAAAGCGTAAACATGTGATACACACACCCTCGACCAGGGCGAAAAACAACCTTTTCTTCACGTAAGTGTAGTTATCGAAACGGAGTACAGAGGAGTATAGTGGGTTTTGATAATTTTGAGGCGGCGGGTATTAGGCTGATTCCTCGAAAACATGTTGAAGCCTGCAAGTTTCGTGACCATTATACAGGTTTTATTGAGTTGCTGGCTAAAGTTGCGGCCGACTTCACCGCTGTTTGAAACAGCTGGGATAGCTCGGCGACGATCAAATCCCAGAGAGCGGGCGGAGATCCAGCCCCTCAGAGAGCGTCCAGTGATTCCACAGAATGGTTGGCCGGAATAGTGCATCGCTTTCCGCAAGAAACTCCAATGATAGATTGAAGGGTCACTTCGAAGTACACGTGTGGATGGATTGCGACGCGCATTCCCAAAGTGGACAGCGATTCCCAATGAAGTGAACCTTGGCCATTCGATCACTAGGACCGTAGCTGATGAAGCAGAAGGAAATTGGACGTAATAACACCGAAACGCGTCATGGAGTGCAGTGTTTTCGGGCGGACAACACTCAAACTGCAATGATGTTTGACGTCCCGTGGTAGAGTACTAGCGAACGCATCTGACAAGTAAAATTGATAATTCAGTTGAATGGAAAGTTTGGCTATCCCGTTGGCATCCAGTGTACAGTACGTCGATTTTGAGGAACCCCTGAAGTGCATACAGATGTTCGCACAAATCAAGGACTTATCTGAGCCGTGGTAGTTAGATCAAATTGATCTGCAGTCATGTGCACTGCCACATCCTCTGAAGCTGTTTGTAATGTGATCAATTTGTGGCCACGTTTTCGTTAGCGAAGGGGGCGCCAGATGGTAGAGAGTCTCAACAAATGCTTACAATTCGTTTAGAGAAAAAGTGGTGGTTGTGCTCGTGTAATGTAAGAAGTCTATCTCCGTTGTCAGAGCGACGCCCAACAAGTGCACGACGGCCACCAAAATGACGTTTGCATGGCAACAGGCTGGCGACTCGTGCATTGAATTTCTCGGCAAGTTTTTAATCAAAAGCTGGTGGAGTCCGCGATAAATGTCTTCATTAACGGATGCGCAACTGCAGTCTAGTGGAGAGTAGGCGGAGATGACAAACAGATTGTGTCTCTCCGTGTGATGTATATTGATCCCTGCATGAGCCTTAAAGTCGGACCTCACACGGCTGTCAATTGGGAACAAATCGAGAAGCTTGTGCACCAGACAGATGCAGGAACTATTTGGTACCGAGATCAGCAGGGGACGTAAACTCAACCACGGCGCTGGAGTACTACAATCGGGTCTCAAAGAGGTAAGATACATCGATAACGAGGGGATCGAGGATGCGCGCTAGACTAGCCTGTTGCCCGATCTGTAGAAGGATTCGAAGGTTGAAGGATCCCGGCCGTCATGAAGATCGTGGTCGAAGGAAGACCACCGGTCAGACTCTTGGCATTAAAATCGAACTCAAATAAACGCGAAGTATTAACGAAAGTAAGGTTTGTGTGTGATGGAGGTGCATGAGTAGTGAAGGCAAAAGTAGAAGAGACGTAGCATATTTACGGAATCTATGGTTCTGTCAGAGGACGAGGTACTACCCATTTGCTGAAGCCGAAGCTGAGGGTAGTCTCAGGGGACGCCGCCCCAAGCTTTTGGCTGAATGGCATACCCGCAG